ATGCTAGCTTCTGATCAAAATGTTCGCTAATGTGCTAGCTGGTCGTGTAATTTCATAGAAGACACAGCAGAAGTTGTCAGTGTTTTTAACAAACTATAGCTACCTTAACACCTGGAAACGGTGGGGTCTGCAGTCCCCCTGCAAAATTGGTGCTTGAAGCAAAAATGTATGCCATACTATACTGCCATGTTTTTATGCCTTATATACGCTGTTGTTTTTATGCCTTACTATACTAGGACATTTTTATTACTTACTTTACTATGACATTTTTATGCCTTAATATATATGTCGTTTTTGATACTTACTATGCTTTGACATTTTTTATGCCTTACTATACTATGACATTATTATAAAAGTACCAAATGGCTTTGGACCCCAGGACCTGGATCCTCCAGGAGGAGCTGGAGAATGTGGCCACCAAAATAACCACTGTGACTGCTCTGCTAAATCTGCTGCCACATGACCCATATCTGCAGCACTGTCTGAAAACTGATCAATGTTGGCTGGTGCAGACTGTCTAACCGTTAGACAGGGGCGTTTTTTAAAGCTGCTGTAATCAATATATTCATATTAACAACAAATCAGTTGACTATGTTAAATGTGAAACCCACAGAGAATTATCACCCTCCTTCCCCTCAGTTTTTCAGTATTATTATGACTCCATGCAGGAGACATTATGTTTTTCCGTCCCTCCTTCCCATTCTTGTGAACACAATATATCAGTAACTCCTTGAGGAGGCTTCTGTAAATTTGGCACAAACATTAATATAGGCTCAAGGATGAACTGATTAGATTTTAGGTGTCAAGGGTCAAAGGCCAAGATCACAGTGACCTCACAATACACAGTTTTGGCCCCTTGAATGTGATTTCTCAAGACCACCTTGAGGGAATTTGTTTAGATTTGGAATAAACGTTCACTTGGACTCAATGAACTTATTTCAATTTGGTGGTTAAAGGTCGAAGGTCAAGGTCACTGTGCCCTCACAAAACATGTTTTTGGCCAGAACTCACAAATTCATACACTAATTATGACACAATTTAACTTAAATGTCTATAAGGATGAGATTAAGTGATGGCATTTTATATCCAAAATGTCAAAGGTCAACTTCACTGTGACATCATAATGTTCTACAAAAACACTCAGGAAGGGGAGATTGTGACTATATCTCCTGTAACTTGGCTGGTTGGCAGAGGAATACAACCACAAGGTAGTTTTCTAGTTTCTAATTGTTTCTATGGCTCACAACTTTAATGTTTTGATTCACTCTCACAGCTCTCATGAATGAAAAGGCCCAGCAGCAAACTACTGCCAAAATTAGCTACTAGCTAGACTCACAGATAGTTTTTTTGCTGTATGGTTCTCTCATCGTCAACCCTTCTCATTCAGTAACGTAAATCAGGCTAATCCTAAAGAGTTTTTCAGCGAATACTGTCTGTGTGGCGTGTTTGACTGAAAATCTCTGTGGATTGGTGCTGCTGAGGATTTTTCCCACACAGATAGTAAGTTATTAACGGTGACCGTATTCCTGGAATTTACCACACTGTACAGAACAGTACAGTTAATCCTCATAAAAAGCAGATAGAAGGGGTGGGGGGAACACAGGGAGAGAAGGGGGCTGGGGGGAAAGAGCGGGTGGTGGTGGTGGTGGTGGTGGTGGTGGTGGTGGGGGGGGGTTGTAGATGCAAAGAGGGGAAGAGGAGGGAGAAGGGAAGGAATTTAGTGAAGGGAGAAAGAAGAGAGACGAACGTCCAAGCGGAGAAGAAAATAACAGAGAAGTGGGGAATCATGAAAAATTGAAAGAGAGGAGGAAGAAGAACAAGAGTGCAGGAGTAAAGGTGGGTTGTACAGAACAACATGTCTTCATTCAATTCAACCAAACTCACAAACAACATGTTGGTTGGTTTGGATCATTTTCATGAGAAGGTGATGAGCCTGGATTCAGTGTCTTGTGGATTTCTTAATTGATTAAATTACTGAACTAAGTTCTACTTCTGAATGTCTTCATGGCTTCGTATTAGACATCCAGAAACACTAATTTGGTGGCTTTACTGGCTGGTTACACTGTGTCGGAAAGTCCATTATTCTTTTATTCTGATGATTGATTTCCAGCGGCAGCACTCATAATGCTTCAAGCATGTGCTTTGTTTGTGTACACTGAGTCACACTTGGGTTGAACACATCCTGTATCCTGTGTTATGATTTGTTTTAGCATGTCTTTGTGGCAACACTACCTTCCTATCTGCCACTGCAAACAGGATAAATCAACCACTCACAGCAAAGGAGATCCCCAGGAACTAACAGAGAATTGTATTTCTCACTGGGGATCTCATTTGTACGGTTAATTGAATCATAAATTGTGTGCACAGTATTTGTAGAGTAATGGAAAATGCACACTGATAGACAGCTGCAGGGTAACAGACAGAGGGCGAGTTGAATGGACCTGTGTTAAAGATGTCCTGACCGTGGAGGAGAGCGCTTCCAGCACGGCGAGGTGAAGGGAGGATACAGCAGGTTATCATCCAGAGGGCGAAGCTCAAGGTGTTGTGTAATCAGATTTACAACAAGACCATGTGGTGGAATGTGACCTGGATCCTGATCTGGTGATGCTGTGCTCTCTCTCTCTCTCTCTCTCTCTCTCTCTCTCTCTCTCTCTCTCGCTCTCTACGTCTTTCTCCCTTGTGAACACACAGAAATCAATAACACACTCACACCTGCAGCCTCAGCCATTCAAACATGTTCATCTAACCTCTGGTGCACCATGTATCTTTGCACTGATTTTTTTTTTTTTTTATATATCTCTAATTTAATGAAAATCTAAAACATGAGTCATGTTCTGTATTGTATAAGTTAATTAACATCTTCTATTTGCTGCTGTTAAGTGGTCAGTGTCTCTGAAGATACACACTGTTTATAATCACTCATCAAATACAACCCCAGTGAGTCTTTGACATAGACTGCCAAAACCAAAACCCACTGTGCAGTTTCTTTATATGAAAGAAGATGAGGAAACACAGACTTAAAGCTTTTCAACTGTTGTGATTGATTGAGTTGGATAAAAATCATATTCCAGTGAAAACTGACAGCTGCTCGTCAGTTTCTCTTGTACATGAGACCCAGAGGAAACATTCTGTCAATGGAAAACATTTGACCTTGACCTTAGAGTGTACACACTACTACTTTTTTACATTTATGGGCAGAAATAAAAGGTACATAAGATGTTATAGTCATGTTTTTAATTATTATTTATATATGGAGTAGTAGAGAGATGAAGGAAATTAGGGGACACACACACACATGCAACCAAGGCCTTAACCGACAGGCCAGCAGGGCACACCTAAGTTTCATGTTTTTAACATAAAATCTTGTTCTGAAAATATCTAGTAACTAAAGTTATCAGATAAATGTAGTGTAGTAAAAAAAAAAAAGAATTTCTGACTAAATGACTAAATGAATTACACTTCTGGAACCAACCAAAAGGAGACAGTAGATATAGACCTGACCCACATAGCGAAACAAACATCTTCAAGAAACACTACATGCATCCTTAAATCTGGAAAACTATAAATTCTACTCACCCAATAGGACACAAAAGAATGTCAGGATGGCTGAATCTGGACCTCCTCTGGTCTTTCTGGACTTTGGATGGAGTTACTATTCATCTGTTTTTATTTAGGAAGCATTCGCCGAAGGATAAATTAATTTAATATTAACCCCTATTTTTGTCCAGTTACAGTAAATAGTTCTTTATAATATTCGCAGTGTTCTGTGTGGGAAGAGGTTGGACGTTTTATTTTATAACTGAAATACTCCATATACAGGTAGTATTTATAATATACAAAGCACCCAGTTCCACACAGTGAAATATCTCCCACAGGTTATCATGTCCAGCTTGATTTTTGACCCGAAGATATGTATTTGGACAGAAATGCAAAGGTTACCTAATTCTTTTCCCCCCACCCCTCATCTTAACCGTCTGAGAACATGACAAGCTGGTGTTACATATCAGCAGTAGATGCTAGCTAGACAGGAACAGGAGGATCTATTTTATTTCTGGAGGCCTAATATCATCTGATCGTTAAGCCAGAAATATGGCTTTGGTCATTACATCCCGAGATGCCAGTCTGGACAAAAACATGTTATGTAAGCCCTGGTGTGACAAAAAACCTTTTTCTTTTTTACACAGCGTTTGAATATATTAACATTTACACACACACAAAATTTGACTTATATAATAGTACGCCAATACCATCAGTGTATCTCTATTTGTTAGCTTGGTTGATCTTGAAAAGGTAGTTTGTGTTATATAATTAGGCATGGATTTCTTGTAAGTGCATCATCTTCAAAATAAAGGCAGCTGAAAAAACTTTTTTGTATTTCACATTTTTATTGGTCATCATAATGAAACAGCATCACTGATAAAAAACAAAACATAAACAAAAACAAAAAAACATCCCCTTTGTTTGGGTAAAATTACAAATGTGAATGTTCAGCCTGATCCACAGGAGGCAGGCACACTGTGAACAGCAGAAACACTGAGCCAGTGCTTCTCCACGGCTGAGGGTCCATAGAAAAATAAGGCAGGTGGTTTGTACAACTCCTCTCTAAACACTGTCAACGTTATAGCTGGGGACTTGTCTGCATTTACAAATCCACAAGACGACTTCTCACCTAGGCCAGCACAATATACAACAGCATTGTACATCTTGGCTCAATCATGCAAAAGAGGTGATGAGATCTGAATTTGTCCAAAAGTAAGATGAAAAATTCATCCTGACCGAATACCTGAGATACTAAAGGGGGTAGAGGTGTTGTGTTGGGAGCTTTCTGTTAAAAACCTGCCGCCTCTTGTCTTTCTTTGTAAGAACAGCCTTTTAAAAAGATGAAATCCAACCTGAGGAAGAGATGAATCTCTTACACGGAGAATAAGCCACTGATGGCAGGAGGCTAATTAAACTGCAGCCAAGCATTCGTAAAATTATTTTAGAAAGAGTACGCCAGATTTTCAAACTGAGAACAAGTCTTTATTGAACATTCATAGCGGGTACTGAATGGGCCGTGTGGACCCTTCGGTGCTGACGTTTATCAGACCGTGGAAAGCTTCAGTTCAAGTAACATCACGGAAATAAAACCTCAACAAAACTGGGTTTTTTTTTATGACAGCAGTGATATACATTGTAAGCCACAGTAAGGTAAGAACTACAACTGTGTACGATTGTCCTGGAACCAGCTTCAGAACTGGCAAACAGGGAAAGTTCCTGTGCATTTTGTTATGCTGTCCTAGAGGTATACAGCTACACGTTAGCATACACATGCTATTGCGTGCCGTTTGATAAAAAACAGAAAAACCATAAGCTCTTACAACAACTTGTTAAAATGTTCTGTCCTGTAAGAACCTTCCTGTAGTGTGGGTACGAAATACTTCGGATAATCTCGTCTTGCTTCTTTCTGCCTTACAGCACTGTTTTCAAGAAACACATTCAACATCGATACTGCTTACTGGTGGCTTTACTTTCAACCCAGTGTTGTTCAACAGGAGTCATTAAGAAACAGAAACGTGGTTCCTTGTTTCTGAGACTTCTGGGAAAACCGTGTTATAAACTGTTATGAAGTAGGCCGTTGATTAATTCATCCTGATATGACAACATTAAAAAATGAAAATGGATATATAGAGACCCAATTTTCTACAAATATACAAGCTTCAAATAAAGAAAAAAAAAACTACTGTCATACAGCAAGGGAAAAAAATGTCTAATACAAGTTATATATATTTATATATATACTAAAACAAACACTGGATTGCAGAAGACTTGTAAGGCAGAATCCCCCAACAACCCACTCACAGACAATGAGTATCAGTGTACCATAAAATAAAGATTATTTACAGAGCATATACAATTGTCCAAAAAGACCATGTTTGTAATCCAAAAACATGCACATAATACACTATTTCATTTGAAATATCTATTTGTTTCATGTACATAGATCCACAAAGGATCTATAAATGCTGTCCACTTTGGCTGGACGTGTTCGAGACACGCAACGGCATCGGAGAACAAGTGAAATGAATAAATCTGGGGTATGGATGTTCTACCAAAAGGCACCAGAACTAAAAGCCAATTATAATGAGAGCAATCCAAAAGGTTTAAGTAAAAAGAATTATCCTGGTGCAATTTTTATCTGATTAAAATTTTTAGATAATAAAATGTTAGGAAATTTAAATATGTTTAATTTTTGGGTATGAGTGTACAACAACAGAGTAAATTAAAATTATATAAATACTAATCAATCCACGGAGCTTAATGACTTGTGAACAAGACAGACGACGTGACCAGTGTGCTCTGCTTCAAGTGCTCACAAACATACTATCTGAAGATTAACCATGACTATTTAAAGATACACCTTTGTACAGATAAACTGAAATTTAAAAAGAAGCAAAATTTTTTTTAGCTTGGTTTACAGTCTTGCACACATGGGTCACATCCTCTGAATGTTAATGTAGGTATCAGTTCTGTAGCTAGCTTCTCTGTTACAAACAGCATGATGAAGTGTGTGGTATTGTTTACCATCCAGCTTCTTCCAAGTCACTACTCTTTAAAGGATTCCTTTGACATTTTGGGGAGAAAAACCTTATTCAACTTGTTGCTGAGATGTAAATGAAAAAATTGGTACCACTCTTATGTCTGTTAAATATGAAGCTAGCGCCTGGAGACAGTTAGCTAAAATGTGGGAAGACAGTCAGCCTGGCTCAACCAAGTAGCAGCTCTAAAACTTAGTAACTTAAACTTTCAGTAACTGAAATATCTCATTAGTCTAATTTGTATGAAAACCTAAATGCAAAAATGTCAGAGTTAGATAGCTGTTAATGCTTCCAGTCTTTATGCCAAGCTAATTTCATATATAGCATACAGACATGACAGCGCTAACAGTCCCTCAAAAAGTCACCTCCCAAAATTTCAAACTATTTTTTTAGCTGAATAGCTAAATGTTAAAAATGTTAAATGACTTTTTGGAGAGAGAGCATTTTTTCATTCCAAGATATAGTTTAACACAAGTTGAAAATATTTTACTTTTACTTAAAATCTTGGGATCTTGAATAGATTTTAAATAATTTCCAGTTTGGCTCTGTTGGTTGAATTTAATTCATTTTGGAAATGTCCAATTACATTTTCTAAACTGAATACGTTTTTATACATGTAGCCTATACTTAGATGTACAGCCTTATCAAGTGCCTTTTAAATTATTCCAGCAGGTGTATATACTGTGTGTTGAAATGGTCATTCAACTTCATACAACCTGAATGGCAAAGAGCCGTATGAGGTCAAGTAAGATATTATATACAACACTAATTTTTTTTCAGTAGATACACTTAATTATGTACATTCATACTTTGCATGTTCAGATCCCTCTGTGACAGTAATACTGAAAGCATCGCCTCGCTTCGTGTACACAGCCAGGATGAAAACAGCCAGCAAGGAAGGTCCTTGAGAGTGTGGAGCTGGGGAAGCTCTAGAATGAAACCGATCGACTAAACCTGTACGTGCATGTAGACTTTGGCAAAGCTTCTGATTGTTAACATGAGGCACAGCAGCAAATTAAACCAAAATGTCCTGAATAAAACTTCTGCATGATTGAATTAAGTCACTGATTAACTGCTGCTTGATTAATTTCAGGTATTTTTCATGGGTAGTAGCTTAAAAGAATATATATATATGTATATGTGTGTGTGTGTGTGTGTGTCTGTGTGTGTGTGTGTGTGTTTGCATGTGCATGAGATGTAATGTTAGAGGTGCTCTTTGTTTCACGGAGGACGACACACTCCACCTCCAACTGTCTCCTTCAAGTGCACAGGGGACTGAGGGACTCGCATTGTCTTTCCAGCCCTGCGAATTGCAGTTCACAGATCTGCTTCAGGTGAGGGCTACACAGTATGTGTTTGTACTGTCTCTTCATAGCTGGAAATACTCGCATTCATGATGGTCATCATAACAATGATGATGATGATTTCAGGATGTCTTGGTGGCACGTTAAACCAGAGTGGGTTTCCCCCTCTCTGGGTTTTGATTCTCTTATTTCTGTTGTGTCACATCAAGAACTTTACAGCAACAAAAAAATATGAACTGAGCTTAAAAGAAAATTCCCTCCAGTGATTTTCTGTGGGGGGAAAAACTGAAGATGTCTTAACCCAGTGCAGCACGTCATGTCCTTAGGTTGAGGTTTTATGATTGATGTTTAATGAAGGGAAGGGAACCTCTGATGTGGGAAGAGGCAATTGGAGAACAGACTTGATGGTGGTGGTGGTGGTGGTGGGGTTGCTGCACTCTTTACTGTGAATCTGAGGAGGGAAGCTTTAGTGACCATCGTGGGAGCCCGAGGGGTTGTGAACCCAGTCGAGGACGATGAGTGACAAGCTGCCAATCATGAAGATGATTCCCACGACCAGGAAGATGGTCGCCTGAAGAGAGAGAGTACAGAGAATTCAGACAGAGGAGGGGATTAAATGTGGTTGGATGTGTGATGATGCACAGCAGGTGTCTGTTGAAATTACACAGGAGTCACATTTTGAGTGAGAAAAATGATACAGTGAGAAAGCTGTTGAGTGTGTGTGTGTGTGTGTGTGTGTGTGTGTGTGTGTGTGTGTGTGTGTGTGTGTGTGTGTGTTCCCGGATACTTACCCCGATCTTCTGCGGGGAGCGGAATGGCAGTGATTTTACCAGGCGGAGGTAAAAGGCAGCAGGTAGAATAAAGATGAGCATGGTGGCCGCAGAAGAACCTGCAACAAAAACCAGAAGGAAGATTTGACTAATCAGAAACAAAAAAAAAACATTTCAAACCTGCACTTCAAAGACATTTATGAAGTTTCCTACACTTTAAATCACTTCAAATATTTCAATTTCAAATATTAGACAGAGTTAAAACTATGAATACAGACAAAACCAACTTTGTTTTTTGAGATTCTGATGTGTGCAGGCCAATAATTTGTGTAACAGCGTTATCTAGGTTGTATACACAAGTCATAAAAGTATGACGCCAACGCGTTATTTACATAATAGGCAAAGTAAATACTTGCCTACTAACTTGACTGCTTCACGTGGCAGTCACATCCTTTTAAAATACTGATAATAGTGCTGCATCTTGCATATAGTGTGCAGTATTTCACATGTTGCAAACATAAACATATCTCACAAATATTGTATAGGGCACCATCAGCAATCCTAACACACAACGCATGAATGTATCTTAGTGGAAGTTGATGACTGGATGATCAAAGTTTGATTCATTACTGTTGTATTTTACCTGTTGCAGCTATGTTGATCTCAGACTTTACAACCATGCTCTCTCTTTGACATCCCAACAAATATAAATATTTATTGCCAAAATGTTATTTCTAATCTTATTTGGTACAATGCTTCCACTCCCCGAGGTTTGGGCAAGTTAAGACTATTTTCCTGCTCAACTACAACTGATACAGTGTAATACATTTTGATTTCTGAGGTGTGGTTTTTGCAGGAAGGCTGTTTCTGAAGGCGACTTCCCTAAATATGAGTTCTCTCTGTGTTTGTGTGTGTTGGCATCACGATTGTGAGTGTTTATATCCAGTGGTCACAAACAGCTCACGCGACCGCACAGCTGACACAACCCGACACTTTAAGCTCCTGTACTTCCAACTTCTTTACTTAATGAAACGACCCCTGAACTTAAGGTGCTAATCAGTCCTTAACTGCCTCGCTCCCTCTTTTATTAACTCGTATTTCTCCACATGGTTTTCTCTGGGATTTTTCTCATGTTCTGCATTTTTATCCCCTTTAAACCAAAACTTCCTTTCCAAAGAGTAGCGTTTTGAGTCTTGCGTGAAAAAGCGGAAATGTTATCATCATGACGCTTGTAATGGTATTCAGTGCCTGGACTCACCAATGAAACCGAAGATGTCTCTGATGGTAGGGACGAAGATCACCAGCATGTTGTTGAAGGCCAGGATTGCGGCGGCGATCAGCATGTGGCGAGTCCAGCTGAACTCTCGACCGCTGAACAACAACGTGGTGATGGAGGAGCGGATCTGGGAAAAACACAAAGTACTGACATTTAGATCTTTGGCTTGATCACACAGAACCAGACAAATCTGTTTATTGATATTATAACAAAGTTGTAAAAAGTTCTGATTGAGAACGAGGGAATTATCATAGCGTTTACGACTTGTGACCACAAAAGTACCAGTTTAGTTGAATTGAAATAAAAATAATATTACATTCAATTCCAGCACTTAATTTTACTGACTTCACACTGGATTATAATGAAATATGTGGTCAATGCAACAAATCAACAACAACAGTCTAGTTTGTGTGTCTGCTGGCCTGTGTCTGATTCCCACACTTGGCCACTGACTGATGTGTGTCAAGTGCTACGAGGCAAGTGTTTGTGTTTTTGTGAGACTGTGTGTGTGTGTGTGTGTGTGTGTCTGTGTGTGTGTGTATGTGAGTGTCTGTGTGTGAGAGAGTGGGAAACTTTGGAGATCCAAGCTAAGACGCCTGGTGCTGCTGAGCCACAGACAGCCTGTTCAAGCCTCCAGTGGGTGAAAGGTTGTGGGTATCAGGTGAAACCTGAGGCACCGACTGCTCGCAGGCCACAGGGGGAAAGGTTACGAGGGGCGGTGCTTACGGCGCCCATTCAAAAAGGCAGGGGATTATCTCCTGCAGCGCAATGGCACCATGGGATTGCATCAGCCGGTAGTGAGAGGAGGGCGGACTCGCCTGCAGGGGGGGAGGTGTGTCTTTACGCGAAGCTGCTATTGTCACTTGTAGTGGACTTTCTTTTCTGCAAGCTTGTCTTCCCTCCTCTGTTGACTTACTAGTCCAACATTAAGCCAACACATTTAATTACAGCTGTGGCAGACAGTTTGTGGAGAATGATATACAAGTTACCAGAAGAGTTTCAGAGAAGGTAACTTTTTTATTTAGTTTACCTGAGAAGGAAGAGACATGTGCAATCTTTTTCTATTTAAGAGCCGCTGCTGGCAGAACACCACATGCCTTCTTTGTATCCTTTCAAGTCTGACTTAAGTACAAGATTTATATCCAGTTAGCATGGCACAGTGGAGGAAAAAAAAAAATCACATTAACTGGATTTTCTGCGCTGTCAGATTGAACCAAGTGACCTCCATCACGACTGTCAGGAGGCACCAGGATGACGCCTGACCTTTAATGTCCTCTGCCAAAAAAGTGTCACCACTTTAGCCAAAACTCATTTCATGTGGGAGATAATAATGACGATAATTTAAGCGCATCTCTCCTGAAATTCCACGAGCGAGCCCCCACCCTCCTGCCCTCTCCCTCCCACCAACTGTTGCATAATTAGGCTGAAAACTAGAGCCTGGATGTGGCATTTCTCCCCAAGGCTCCAAACTATTCAGCACCTGGCTGCTACCTGGCGCAAAGCCTTTGGAGTTCACTATGTGATATTTGCACACTTTCTATACATACACACACACACACACACACACACACACACACACACACACACACACACACACACACACACACACACACACACACAGACTAGTGGACAGACTAGTTGTAGGCAGTCGAATCTGGAACCAGCCAGTTAACAAAAAACAAGGGAGTAAGATCTTAGCTACAGGAGCTAGTCCAAGCTCAGATCACAACAAACCATGTGCATTTGCGCCTGTTTACTGAAAACAAAAGTTGTGTTTTACCCAAGTCAAGATTTGCACATACAGTATGAAAGTGATAGAGAAAAAAGTGGCAGACATGTGTCAGAGCTGTTAAAAGTCAATGTTTTCCCCCTTGAACCTGTCATTTCTACATAAACCCATTTGCTTTTTTTCTCTTTTACAACCATGTTTGAATTTTCACAGATGCTGAGTGTGAACTGAGAGTGTATGCAGCAGGGTAAAAGTCCCTTTTCAAGTAAAAATATCAACAGGAAAGACGTATCGGAGTGTTCTCAACTGCACGGGCACTGAACCATCACTTGAAACTAGAGAGCCAATCACGGCCTTTTTGACTGGAAAAAACAAACAGATGAACAGACTGTGCTTTACTACAACCCAAACAAATGCTCCGCAGCCTTTCAGTTCCACAGCCAACAGGCACATGGACATATCAAACCTGATCATCCTGACAAACAGCCGATTTTGACTAAAGTTTCATTAGGTAAAACAGAAACTGTGATGCCACTTCAGAGATCTATTACCTTTCATGAGAGCAATTTTTATGATGCATTATTAACATTAAGCCATAAATTACATTACAATCTTAAAGGCAACATTTAACCTTCAGAAATCACAGTTAGTTGTTTGAACATCTGTAAAACCATTAAAACGTTCTAAACTTGTCCAAATGGCAGTCACAGGTTTAAGCTAACTGTACAGGTTTAAGCTAACGACAGTGTGGTGAATAATGCTGCTAACAGTATGCAAGCTAACAGATAACAGCTAACTAGCTAATGTAAACTTATATTGCTGTGTTTGAAATTGTGTTGTAGTTACAGTGCTTTAATGTTCTATATTAGAAAAGAATAGACAGTTTTTTTTTTATATAAGAGAAAAAAAATCATAGCAAACAGAAAATGTTTAGTGGCATTAGCTAACCTGCAGATATTCCTGAACAGTGATATATTCATTATCAAAGCCTTTGAAACAGTCGGATAAAAAGTCCAAAAACAACTTTTTAAATAAAGAAAAACCAATTAGTAACTTGTGAGGCTTTAGAGGCACGCAATGAAGTTAGTGCTACACAAAGTCCCTATTAAAGTTCACTACATGTTGGTAACATGTAAAGGTGATTTTAATCAGTTCATTTGTAGCGCTCTCCCATGGTTTCAATAACCAGCTGGAGCCTGAGAACTGGGGCATGTTTGACTCCACATAAAGCCCTTTCATTATGTACTGGATCCAGCCAAAGCCCTGTGTGATCTGGCCTCTGTTAGCATCTATCCTTCACGTGACTGCACCCCCCCTCCACCCCACCCCACCCTACACACACACACACACACACACACAGGTATATACTCTTTCACATCTAAACACGTGTCTCCAAAGGCACGGCCCCACACACATATTCTCTCCTCTCTCATATAGTACTTCCCCACTGGCGCGAAGGACAGTCACAGACAAAGCTAATGTTAATCTCTAGCTGAAGGTCGGCAGCATTTTTCTGCAAAATGAAGGTCAGGAGGATTCAAGGCAAGATTCTCAAATGTCAAATGGAAACTTGGCACAGCAATGTGTGACTAAGTAGTTCTTTTGATCCGATGCCTCACATGCATCCAAGTTAGTCAATCTTTCGACCGTGCTGCAGCAACGATGGTTTAATTTACTGCAGGAGTAGCGATGGTCAGTTAATTAAACATTCCCAGCTCTGCACAAATGCGCATTTCTGATTCAGAAAATCATGCACAGGTCAACTTTTTTTTCTCCCAATTCCCAAACAGCATCAGCAGAGCCATTCATACTACTGCCTCTCTGCAGCTAGTGCTTATCACCAAAACTGACACACTGGCACACAGGCTACGGCTACGCCTTTTAACAGGAATCCAGGCAGGCCGAAACCAAAGCAAAATTAATTGGCTTAACATATTTAAAAGCTGACTGAGGAGCATGAACACTAAGGTTTGTGCTGCATTCAGCTGCCATAGGATTCAAACCCCTCACCCTGACTTGCTCGTTTCACTAAGCTACAGTTCACCACAGCTGGTTAGTGCTGTCACATCTGGGGCTTGTCTTCTGTCCTTATCAATTTTTTATCTCCTTTGTTCTCATAGTCCTCCTCCCTCTCACTCTCATTTTACAGCCTTATCCTTCTCTGTTTCTCTGTACCAAGACGTATTTATTGTGAGCGCCGTTCAAAGTGGTTTAGGTTTGTGGCAGACAACAAGAAGAAAACACACACATATAATTGCATGTTTGCAGTTAACCACATTAGACATGATCACAAATCACCGCAATGTCTGAGTTTGTCATTTGATTCATGTGAAGGAAAACCACCAGTGTCTGCTCACTGACTGACTGCTATAAATGTGGCTGTCACAACGCTAAATTATGGAATAAATATGTCCCCTGATGGAAATATTATGGCCATCATCAGCCAATAATTAGACTCTCCTCACTATCTTTGATCCAGAAGCAGATTTCTAAACATGATCCATCACTAACACAACGACTGTGCACCCCTGGCAGAGGTTTGTGTTTCTGTCTCCCTCCACCCTCCCCTGCCTCAGTGAAGCTAGTGGTCAGGGTGAGGGTTTTTCCACTGTCCTCTCTGAGCCTGTAAACTTCCACTGCAGAGAGAGGGGGATCCTCTCTCACATTCCCTGCGACAGAAAAAACAGCAGTGTCTGCTAAAGGAGGGGTGTGTGTGTGTGTGTGTGTGTGTGTGTGTGTGTGTGTTTTAGTCAGAGGTATGGGTTGAGAACAGGAACATCATGTGTGAGAATGCATCAGCTAAATAAAAAACATGACAGAATTTGGTTTGTGTGTCGGTGTGGAGACACACATTGTGAGACAGTGGATATGTAAGAGTACAGTATAAATGTGTGTGTGTGTGTGTGTGTGTGTGTGTGTGTGTGTGTGTGTGTGTGTGTGTGTGTGAGAGTGTGTGGTGTCTAACTGTGTTACCATGACATGCTGCATCATTCTCTGTCAGCACTTTCCTCTCACTCAATATCAACAAAGCTGCTGCCATCTGGTGGCAGCTGACTGTAACTACAGCCACTTCAGAAACGAGTCAAAAATAAGCAGCTGCTTGTCTTTGCATTAAACCAAGTGTGTGTGTGTGTGTGTGTGTGTGTGTGTGTGTGTGTGTGTGTGTGCGTGTGTGTGTGTGTGTGTGTGTGTGTGCATGCGCACATGGAAACTAAAGTGGGGCAAGAAACTTCCTCTGGCCTGCAGCCATTTTTGTTCTCCTCATGTCAGATAAGGGCCAAACTAAAATTAGCCTGTGACCATATATGGGGAGGGAAGTGAGAACAGTGTGTGTGTGTATACGTATGTGTAAATGAATGTGACTGAGATGATAAGTTTTGGTAACTGGCCATCACACACACACACTGACCTTTGGCCCCATCTTGGGAGAAAAATGGGGAATGGACACAAAAAGTAAAACAGGCTTCACTGTGAAAGCGTGTGTGTGCATGTGTGTGTTGGTGTAATTAAGAGGTGTGGCTGTTTACGACCTCAGCCTGTGCGATTTGGGATTTGAGATGACGATACAAGGAAAGTGCCAAACTGAACAGTGTGTTCCTTTTTTACCAAACTGCCAGGAAAAAACAGCTGCATCCAGAAAATGACAAAAAAGAAAAAAAGAAAAAAAGACGCTGAGTTTGCAGCAACACACAGAGTGTCGTCTGTGTGCAGAATGACACGGAGCGGCAGCAGCAGTGTTTGACTGAATGAATGGAAATGGTTTTACAAGTAGCTGCTTAGGGGCAGGCAGCAGCCAGATATTTCAAATTACAAGGGCGGTGAATGTTTGTGTGTTACTGAGTAACGTGTTTGTGCACTCTGACGTAAATCAAATTATATCAGCACTTAAACAAGGCTACATTTAATAAAGCTGAGAGGGATGAAAGTAAAAAAAAAAATAAGAACATTAGTGCAAAAGCAGTAAAAAAAAAAAAAGAAAAAAAAAAAGAAGCCCTGTCGATGTTTGGCAATAATGAAACAGTTTCTGCTTTCCAAACTCAACTATAGTGCCTACTTGTCCATGGAGGACACTTGCTGACAGAGACAGACTGTGTGTTGTACGATGTACTTACAGGGAACAGCACAATGGGGACAGTCAGAGTGACGGCAGTGAGAACAGCCAAGCGCACCAGCAGCAACATGGTGTCGAACTTATAAACCTTGGTGAAGGTGTGGAGCAACTCTGCTTCCACGTTGTCTGAGAAACACAGGAAAAAAAAGACACATCAATGGTTTGAAACAATTTGTGAACAAAGGATAAGAGAAGCTAACAGACGAGGTGGAAAGAAACTAAAATACATAGAAACATTGTACTTGTAATTCCGCTACATTTATCTGGCATTTTGTTCGGTGTTGGTGTTTCAGTGTCGGGTCACTGGATCAAAACGACTCGTCTGTGGGCGGTTTTCTACCACTGGGTAAAGTGAAGCCATTTAATGCGCAGGTGCCATGTTGACCAACACAAGGTCAACCTTTTTCCGATCTTTTTCCACCTCTTAGAAAAAAGCCGTGTTTAGTTGTGGCTCTTTGTCACATTTCAGATGTTTGTGAGTTGTTATCAGGTGCATCAGTGAGAGATTTCCACTTCACTGTACGTTCAGACCGAAAGCGGCCAGAGTGAAATAATTTCGCTCCGGCGAGGACGCTGCTGAAGTTTTGTGGACGCTCTGACGTGAGATGACGTAGATGAAATAGACAGCTTAATGCTTGGTCTTGAGAACTTTATTTAAAGGGCAAAGCGAACAGACATGTTTGTTCTAGTTGCACGTTTGCATGTATCGTTTTCTTTTTTAAATTTAAGCGCCTGTAAGCAAAGTTAGTTATCAATATCTCCTCCGTTGTGCTTGGGAACAAAAGTTTGATGGGAACCAAAGTTTACACGGCGTGTTCTCCAGATTTCTCCCGTCCACTTCTACATTCTGATCGGTTGCTGCTGCCTTGTCACTTTGAGGTTCTCGCTGCTTTCGTTAAACTTTTCAGGTGGTTTCAATTAAATAACCGCTGTAGTGTCAAATAAGTACAAGTGCACATTAATCACTTCACACTGATCTTCTGCCCCTTTGAAGGAGCTGACTGAGTTTCAGCCATTGTGTTTTTTTTGTCTATGATTACAGTTGACCGTTACTGCTGGTGTGTATCTTCACTCTTACCATAAAAGGTGAGGTAGCCAAACAGCGCCGACAGCATGTACATGATAAGCATGGCCAAGATGGACAGGTTGGAAACGTTCTGCATCTTTTTCCTGCTGCGACTGAAGAAACAACACACACACATACACACACACACTTTTAGAGGGTTTACGCTCAAATAAATAAATTGGATAATGTGCAGTGAGTCAGTTGGACACAAACAAAAACATTTTGCGTTCATTGTGTAACGCCCTGCACTCCCCTGTTCTTTTGAAATGTTCTGAACTTGGCTCTTATTATAAAGACAAAATGTCATTACTTAATAAGCGTGGTTTCATGATAAGTGAACATACACTTCAATGACTCCTTAAATCATAGAGACATTTTTAATAATACAAAAATAATAAAATAAAAAATTCAGTCCATGTGCCTTTATGTGTGTGTATATCTCTAAATGTGCCTGGCTCCATAGAGAGAAAATGGTTTTCATCTGGATGAACTGACCCTCAAAGTTTGTTTTAGAAGAAGAAGAAGCGCACTTACTCTTTCAGCTCACTGTAGATGGGCAGGACTTCAGGGTGGCAGACGAAGGCGAAGGCCAGGATTGGCACAGTGTATGCCGTCTGTGGAAAGAAGATAAGAATGCACAGAAACACACTCAGTTATGCAGGAAAAGACAATCACGGCGCAGTTAGACTAAATAAAAATATACTACCTATATATGTAACTATGTGATGTCTGTCAGAAATATCTTCTTTAAATTTTAATATATATATTATTTAAGTGCTGTGCCTCAGAGGATATAGAAAAAAAAACCCTTTCCTTTACATCAGTTCGAGATATGAAACATGTTGGGATATTATGATCTATCAGGTTCAGCTCCACCACTGTTGGTTTTGGTTGTAACTTGTTTGCTTGTTGGTTGGATGGACTGTCATGCATATGCTGTGAGAAAGATCACAATCAAAGGATCACTGACTGACAACGAAACGCCACGTCACGCCACGCCACGGCACGCCAAACATAACAAGACTATCACTGCGGCGTGACAGTGGACGGCTGGTTAGTAACACTTAATCCTGAATATTTTATTCCTGTCACACAGGCACGTTACTGCATGTGCATGTCAGCTACTGTCGGTTGTAATCCTCACGTACGTTCAAATGCAGTTTTGAACAAAAGAGCGAAAAGTGTTTGATTAGTCAGGAATAGCTTTTCTCTGAAGTTGGCATCGGTGCGTCAGTGTCATCAGGGATTAGACAAACGGTCGTTGTAGATGTTGCGGAGATACGCTCGGGCACCTTTAATAAAACGTTTCCACTCTGACTTACAACTCCCAAATATCACAAAAGAAGCAGGTGGACAGTGAAGTGCAGTAGACAAACTCTTGGTGAATCTAGTTAACATAACTAACACTGTGTCCCTGTGTCAAGATAAAGCTGTTTGCTGCGTTCTTCCTGATTCATCATGATCATACAGGCGCAGACAAATCCCTGGACTCACAGGAGCCAGAACACACCCTGACGAGCCACGCCTTTACCAACCGCTTCTTTGCAAAATACTTGGCATTCTGTCTCTGTCAGATTTGAAGATTGTAAAACGCATTCCTGTGTGAAAGCCACACGAATAAATGCATTTTGTACAAACATGGATGTTTCATATGAATGAATATTGTGTTTCTCCTTTTGCACTTGTTTTTTTTTTTGTTAAGTGTGGGGAACGTTTGTGCTGAATTTCACAAGCTGGACGAACGTTTTAGGGTCGGGAGAGTTTTGTCGGCCACCTCCGACCATGCCGTACCTGTGAGTTGAAGACAAAGTATTTGGGTGTGCACATCTCCTCGTCGTCGGGGTGGGGCTCAAAGTGGACACTGGTGGAGTGGTGAGCGTCGTGGCTGCCCAGCACCGCCGGGGTGACGTCGGCTCGGGAGAAATCCATTTGTGCCGAGCGGTTTTGTAGATTGTACAGCCCCGGCATATCTGAGCCGTTCACGCTGAGGTTGGACGAGTGGTGGTAAAAGAAAGGAAGAGGGCAGGGCAGCTGGGTCTTCTTGTAGATCATCTGGAAAATAACAGCATTAAGTCACATTATGTTCTTCTAAGTGAGTGGTTCTCTACCTGGTGGGTGGGCCGCAAAGGTGTTGCAAGTGGGCCGGCAAATCATTTGAAAAACAGTAAAATTTTGGGGGAAAAAAATTTAATTGCAAAAAATAATTATAGACAATGTAAATTATAAATAAATAATAAATAAATAAATGATCCTTAACAGCATTAACAACCTTAAAGAACTCCTTTCAGTTCAGACCACTTTGTATACTTGTATTATTACAGAGTTCGACGTTGATGACCAACGTTTTTGAGATTTTCAAATGGGCCATGAGTTGGAAAAGGTTGGGAACCAGTGTTCTGAGCGCTGCACATAAAAATAAATGAAACAAAAGGAAAACAGTAAAGCTGCACCACCAAAACAATGAGCTGGAAGATGCTAACATGTTCCACAGAGCTGACACAGGTCAGAGCTGGGTCATAATTCTCTGTGGGTTCATCACTACAAGCGACCGCTTTCACATTACACATAGTCTACTCAATTGTTGTTAATATAAAAATATGAATTAAAGCAGCTTTAATCCATATCTTTAGCATATGTGTGGCTGTGGGACAGTGGTTCCCAACCTGTAGGCCGAGGCCCACCGCTGGGCTGCGAAGGTATTGCAAGTGGGCCGACAAATCATTTTGCAAAACAGTACAATTTTGGTGAAATGGTATAATTTTAAAGAATAAAAATAAAACTATAAATAATGTTTCTAAATGTTTTAAAATTAAATGATCTGTAAAACATTAAAAATGTTCCTTTCATTGTTATTTTTTCATATTAGCCATGAACTTATCTTAGACTTGTTTTCTATCTCAGTCTGACGTCTTGCTAAAAGATTACATCCATGGCAAAAACTGAGGATCAGGTTGGATAGCTCGTTAGCAACAGGAAGAATTAAAAAGAACAGTGTAAAGACACAGATGGTTGATCAACAAGCGATCTCTCCCGTGTCAAACACAAAAGAAAAACGGAGCCTCCTCTGCTTTCAGTTCAATCTTTGAATGTTCAATTAACGCTCTGAGAAGGCGTAACCCCGCCTCCTTATTTTCACAGGGGTTGGATGTGTGCCGCCAACAGACACACGGCGCTCCCATTAGAGGAGTTGTGAGGGGCCCTTCTTTGTGCATGAATTGTGTGTATTTTGCTCACGCCATTACAAGGCTGAACTTACCACACCCAGGAAGAAGACCATGCAAGTAAGGGAGAAACCGCTGGTGTAGCCCAGGTAGCCTAAAGAGAAGAAAACATCAGTAACTGAAACACACACACACACACACACACACACACACACACACTGCAGCAACGACAACAGATACAGTTGCAGACGCTATAGTTTGCTGGTCTGCATTCTGTCAAATCACATGTCTATTTTAGAATATAGGTCACGTCCTGTTCCAGGCTGAGCTGCAGTGTGAATGAAGCCTTTAAGATCTGTATGTACCAGCGACCAAACCTAACACCCAGGAATACAGAGCTAACGCTCATCACTGCTGTTGTCACTTATTACATTAAAATCAGCTCAGACACACAGTTTTGACCTCATTTGCCTTTTTATGTCTAATTGTCTTAATAACATAATGCGGTCAGCTGAGGAGGATCTGACTACCGCGTTCATAGATCACATGTGATCTGACAGCAGGCTTAATAGAGAGTGTTACGTTACTGTAACTCCTAATTGCTGGAGCTGAGTAAGGGCTCAGCTAGTGTTACATGACTTGTGGTTTACAGACAGCTGCAAGAGCACGGACGCACCGAGAGATCTAGCACCAGGCGGCAGGAAGTGAACATCAGATCCTCAATATACAGTAGTGATATTAGAAGTGCAGTGGTGTAGAGACATCACACACACACACACACACACACACACATATTTATGAAGTCCTTACCCAGATTTTTAAGGAGAGACAAAGGCAGAATGATCCCGATCGACACAAACACCACCAGGTAGTTTCCGTTCATGTACCATTCCCTGTAAAACACGGCACACAGGTTCAAATCATACTTACAGTACACACACACACACACACGAACATAAGAGTGCGCCTTCATGTTCAAAAGCATGCAAACACATACACACACACACTCACCCAGAGTTTTCTTCTAAACCCAAGAAGGCCCGGATCACTTCAGGCAGCTCATACTTCACGATAAAGAGGTAGCTGGACATGGCTGCAGGAGGACAACAAGGAAGAAATCCTCATTTGAAATGCAACAAACAAGTTGAAGTCGTTGTATTTTAATTCGGAAAACTGCATTTTAGAAATCTGCACTACAGTATTAATCTGTGAACACACTGACGTGCTGTCTAACCTCCAATGTTTTGCATGATTATCGATCCAAATGCTGCCATTTTCCCAGGCCAACCAAACGCTCTCTCGCCCAGCTTTTCATAGATGAGGGATCCTGCCAGAACACACAAGACGATGGAGAATTAGTCATGAAAAGTTAAGGCTTCACAATGAGGAAGAACAAGATACAGTAGAACAATCAGGTGCATTTTGTTCCTCCTTGAACAGAAATCTACTTAATCTCTTAATGCTGCCTGCCTTTCCCATAATGCCTCTAGAGAAGGGTGAGGACCTTTAGTTGTCAGTACATCAAATTAAATATCATACCTAAAATTATTACTTGTACATAACCTGTATTTCTGGTGTATGAACACTACTATCTAAAAAAATTTATGCCAGGTCTTTATTGATTGATGTTCCATATTTCTCAGAACGACACCTAGGTGGTTAAACCAGTACAGTAAGTTCTTTATGTAATAATAATAATAATGATGATGTAGAATTTCAAATAGGGAAAAAAATCTTTAAAAAAGTCTTTCTGTAAATTTCCACCAGGAGCATGATGGGAAATAATCTAAAAGGAATTTAGGGTTGACCCTGCAAGGTCCCCAGTCTTCACAAAATCTTACAGTGTGACTTATGACACATTGTCTTTAGATGTGAGAGGGAGTCAGACCTCAGTCTTTTCTAGTCTTTAGTCTTTTAAAGTCTTCTAGTGTGTGATCAGTATTAGGTGAAATACCAACCTCCTTCTTTTGCCGTCATGAGGAGAAGATGCACAGAGTACAAGGAGAGGATCGCCACAGCGACGAGGAGGACTCTGCAAAGAGAAGGAAAGCAAAGGTCAGAGCTGAGTGCAAGATGGTGACGCATAACAATTACAGTGAGACAAAGAAATGTTGTGTTCGGTGTCAACTATGGGTTTTTTTTTTTACGTAGGTAATGGGGAGTGAAAAAGAGTAGTGGAAAGACGGGAGAGAAAGTTGTAGTCCATAAAACTTTGATGTGTTTGCTTTGGCTTAGTCTTTGACATATTGAACATCACAGTATCTGTGACACACTGCAGCTGCTCAGACGTGTTTGTCGTTTAGTTGTTTGGGGGATTTCTCTCAGGAGAGGCTGCGAGCTGTCAACTCGACTTCACCATGGCTCTAACATGACCAGTACAGTGCTACGTCAATGCTACGTCAATGCATCTCGTCCGCTGCATTCTTCAGATGACACATTGTGTCTCAACAGGGAAATACTGGATGTACAAAGAGCGCAGCATTACTTTTATGGCTTCCTGCAATAATCCCGCCCTGCTCATTGTGATTTTTAGCAACAGGATGGAAGAGGTTTAGGAGGATAGGAGCGGTGTGTGTTATCTAAACTGGCACAAGAGGGCAGGAGTCTATTATTCCCTTTCTGCTATCATTCTGCAGCAGCTACAGAAATGTTTCCCTTAGCTGTCTTTTTCTCTGTGGCACTGCAAGCTCATGGGGTGGACACGCAGCAGGGGCATGGACAGTGGACAGAGTGGGGTAGGACTGAGGGGTGTAAGGTGACAGCGGGGTGTCGGATGTTGGAAGTCACCCATGAATGCTGATAATGCATATGCACGGGACAGAATGAGCCGGGAGACAGACGGCAGAGGGACTGAGGGCACAGGGTAAAGGAGTTCAAATATTTCTGCTCTTTTTTTTCCAGCTGGTAATGTGATAATTAAAAAAGAAAGAGAGTTTTAAATACGTTTGTTGCTACCTGTCCGACCTGCACAGCACAGCACAGCACAGCACAGCACAGCACAGCACGCTGTTCGGTTTCGTTGTCGTGCAGTCGTGCTACTTACGTAAAGAGAATAATGCCGGTGTTCGCCATGGCGAAGGACAGGCCCAGGATCCCGCTGCCCATGATGGCGTTGCTCAAGTTGAAGACAGACATCCCGAAGGAGGCGTGGCCGGGATGCTGCTCAGACAGAGAAGACAGAGGGATGAGGAACATTTAACCTTGATGACATATTTAAAGTCAGTATTGCAGCTATTTTCCCCGCATTAGATCAAGAGAGGAAACATTTGGCAGAGTGCAGCAAAACCACACAAGACTTAAAATGCCATAAGAACCCACAAGTTGTAATTCAAGGAAAAATACACCCTCATGTTCTCCGGCACTGTTAGCTACCAGTAGTTAAGTGCATTTCCAGTAGTTATTAAATTTAATTGACAGCTCCGATTCTCCCTCAACTTCTACGTCAACTGCCAACATTTCCCAGAATGCCAGAATTCAGAGAGAGAGGCCCAAATCTGCCACACTCAACTGAGCTGTAGCTGCTTGAATTACACGGACATGACGTCACATTTTTGAGATTTTTCCATGTGAAGAAGAAACTTAGATTAAATAACTACCTGGAATAAAAAGATGAAATATGAAAAGTAATATGACCAGCATGATAAATTATATTGGACTTTTTTTTCTGATTTTCTAGTATCTTAGTATCAAACATCCTCTAAGGAATCGCATTATGCTCAATGGAAGGGCACCCACAGATGTTTTCTAGGATGTTTCTTGCAAAGTCAGTGACCTATAACATCAATGTCTGCATAATCAACACATTGGCTTGCACAACTTCCTTCATGTTAAACACTCTTTCTGCATGTCTTTGATGTTAAACCAACAAAACCAAGGCTCGGTGAAGCCATTAGATAACAGCTTACAGTTGTTTTCTGTTTTTATTTTGGTAATTTACTCTTAAAATCTGCAGATAAGTGTTATCAGAATAAAGCTTTTACGCTGACTGATAGACACTGGCGACATTAGCGTTGCGACTTGGGAATCCTCTTACATATTCTTCATGGTATTCTTCGTATTTCTTCTTCTTCATCATCCCATTTGACAGGAACTTCTGGCTCTCTGCGTCATCGTTATCATCCATGAACTGGCTGCACGGAACCAAGAAGAAAAAAAAAAGACATTAGCATTAGCATTAGCATACACAGTAGGCAGTTCTCTTTATATACAGTATGTATTTCAACTTTGTGTGCGCAGAGTGCAAAGCAACACCAAATGACGCCATCCTTTAGTGCCAACTCATTTGGAGAACGAAATAAAAGCCTTGACATCACGGTTGCTGCTGACCTGTTGATGGTGGCCTTCTCAGAGTCGATGGGCTCTGTGTAGCGGTCGTCCAGGCTGTCGGTGCTGTCGTCGTCAGCCTCCGTGGAGACTTTCCTTAGCTCCATACGATCCATGACTCCAGGCATGGTGGTTTACAGCAAGATGAGAGTTTTCAAGATTTCAGGGTTAGACGTTCTAAAGGTCGGCGATAGGTTTCTCCCTCAATCTCTGCTAGACCTTGTTACCTATAAGAAACAAAGAGAGGAAACGTTGAAGTGTCAGTGACTAAGACGCTGTTGAAGATTCAGATTTCAGTTTATCAGCAACAGCAGACAGGTCCAGGTCTTAAAAACTCACTAACACTGGAGTTCACTACAGGATTGCCAATTTGCATCTGAGTACAGGCCTGGAGACGCATACAGTCTGTCCTCAACAGGCCTTTTTGTCTTCATGACGAATATTTAAGAGTGAGATGGGGCCCTCTGCCAAGTAAACCAGCCCGTCTCATTTCCTGGAACTGAGAGTCTGTTTGTTATGTTACCTTGAAGAGCCAAGCTGAGATATGATGCAGCCATGGCAGCTCCCACATCAGGGCTGAAGTCCTGTCAGTTTTATTGCTATTTCCATTTTACAGCAGCTTCATTTGTGGTCAAGGTTATAGTAGTTTTTGATTTTTCATAGTTTTTATTTTCATTTAGTTTTGACTTTTTGTTTTAAAAATTCAATTTAGTTTTAATTAGCTTTTCAAGCAGGTTTACTAGTAAGTTTCTGAGTTTCAGTGTTAGTTTTAGTTTTTTTTGTAATATGTGGTATTTGCCAAGGCCAGATTAAAAAAAGGTAAGAAAAAGTATTGTGTAATATTGTGTATAAAAACTCAACAAAACATCAAACCATTTCATCTACATGAACCAAATCAAAATGAACTCATCAGTGAATTGGACTGTCCAGGCCTAGTCATAGGTGCTGCAGTTGCAGTTAATTAACAATAAAATACTTAACATCATTGTTACAGTGAATGTTTTAGAGACTTAGAGTGCACATGTACTGGTCGCACACTGAGAGCCAGTCAGCTGTGAGATACTGCTTCATCTGCACAGCTAAAGATCTGGAAGATAGCTTTCAAATCCACCAAAATACTATTATTATGTATGAAATAAACTGACAAAGACGAAAACTAAAGACATTCTCTCTACAATCTTAGTATATTTTACTTAGTTTTGTAAACACACAATACAGTTTCAGTTAGTGATGTTTTTTTTTGTTTTTTTTTATAAAAAGCCTTGTTTTTATATTTATTTCAGTCAACAAAAATATTTTTTCATATCTATTTTTTCATTATTTTGTTAGTTTTAGTTGATAATAACCTTGTTTGTGGTGTTAACAACTTGTAATTTTTTGATACAAAATAAAGCAAATACTAAATTATGTCTCACTTGGGTGTATTACAGTGTTGACGTATGTAGAGTATGCTGGCTGGAGTTAAGTCAACAAACCTTGAAACCAGGTCAAGGATGTAAAGGGTTCATAAAGCCACCAGACCGCCAACATCAACAGGCTGTCTTGTTCATGGTTGAGCCAGTTTACTCAGTCCCACCCATGACCATTCAAGAAAAAAGCCAACAGCACCGCACAGGGATCTGCAGCATTCATCATTAAGTTATGTAAGGAGGAGATGTAAGGCAGTGACCGAAGCCTGTATGATTACAAATGCTACTAAGAGTCAAATTATTTACAGGACTGTTACTGTCGCACAAAGACTCCATTGATTGGGCCGAAGGGAAAGATCCCAAGTGTTACTCCCTGACAAACAACCAACCATGGCAACAAGTACACAATCACAACAAAAGAGAACAGTAAAGAGCAGTAAAGAAACCAGTAGCTCTGAAATTCTCTTTTGTTTTAAAGTAATTACAAAAGTAATTAGGTTGTGGCAATCCTGTGCAATGTGGCCAAAACACAATTTAACATTATAGTGCAAAGTCAAAGTAACAGTTCCACATTTTGGTTAATATACTTATTGACTTTCTCGCCAAGTAAAGAAGAAGGATACCATTCTCGATCCCATCCATTCAGCATGACACTGGAGCCAGTGACAGTTAGCTTAGCTTAGTTTATCGTAAAGACTGGAAACAAGGGGAACAGCTGGCCTGACTATATCCAAAGGTGCTGTTCCCCTTGTTTCCAGTCTTTATGTGAAGCTAAGCTAACCGGCAGCTGGCTGTAACCTTATGTTCATCCTACAGACTTGAAAGTGGTGTCAATCTTCTCAGTTAACTCTTGGCAATAAAGCAAACGTGTATTTCCCAAAATGTTAAGCTATTAAGACAAGTCATTTTATGTTATAATGGTTTAAATATATGTACTTGACACTCTGCATATTAGCATGTTGGTGTGCTAAGATTTGAAATGTAATAAGTAAGCACGTTAACACACGCATTAGGAGATGCCAATGTTTAGCATGTTAGCGTTGTGCTAATGTGCACATGGTTTAGATCAGGGACTGTATATAAGATTCAAGGGCTTACGGTCTGTGACTAGATCAAACTTCCTGCCATATACATATGGACGTAGCCTCTCACAAGCCTACACAAGCTTGTGCAGCACACAGGTACCATCTCTAATTGCTGGTCCTGCACTAGTCCTGGTCATAAACCTACAGGACTCCAGCAAACATCTACTATCACCTTGGTTGGTGCGTCCTTGTCACTATGCTAGGGCAACAGCTCTAGCTAGCTCTTAGACCATGGAATGCCTGTTTCTGCTCTGATGCTCTGATTTGTCTTTTCGGGTCAGACGTCGCAGTGCCTCTGACGGTGTTGCAAACTCTGACATGAATCTACTACTGTAACCGACAAGTCCCGGGAAGCTTCTCACTCACCGTTCTGGATTCAGTGTCAGTCCACATTCTGAGTCTCCTTGTGACGGCGTGCAGGTGCTTATCGTGCGTTATCAGGTCAACTGAGATGTTCTCCACATCTCCAATACCTGGGAGTGTATTTGCTATTTCTTGCTGGTATTGATCACTGGCTGACGACATGCTGAATATCTGTCTCTTGTATCTGTATATCTGTATATGTTTTCTAGGAATGTAGTCCCCCCCCCCCCCACACACACACACAAACACACACACTTTGGGAGTACCACCACTGGGTTTAACAAGGGGGGTGGAGCCTTCAACACTTTCTACAATATACATGTCTATCACTTCTTTTATCTGTTTCTCTGCAGCCTCCTGGAGGTTGTAAGGGATGTGACTGAGTGGCTGCGCCACAGGTTTCACTTTTAGGTGTATATACTGTATATGCTGGTCTGCTTGTTTTCCCACTCCCTTAAACATATCTGGGAACTGCTGCTGGTCGCAGCTGGTAAAGGTGGAACTCATTTATATGCATGTTGGGTAGTTGAAACTTTAACAATGCATAATTTTGTTGGTTGTATTGGTTGTATATGTAAATCTTGTAAATCTGCATATCTTGTTCTGCAAAGTAACTACTTGATACAGGTATTGTATTTGAGTAAATGTACTTTAAAAATCAGCTGGTACAAATTACCTTTGGACGCTTGTTAATTAAAAGACCGTCTCCAATGAAGGAAATTGTTGGGCAGCAGGATCTTTGCATCTCAATGTGTGAATTGTTTACAGCCCACAGGCAACAATGCCCCCACACAGAGCATCCCATTTTGCGAATCAGATGCAAATAATGTCCGAGGTGTTAAAACTCTCCATCATGACGCCACCTGGCTAAAACAGTTTGACCCACAGGACAGGGCTGTCTTTTAAATAATGTTGTTGTCACTGATGGGCTGCTGCTCCCTCTGTGATCTTCCTCTTCGGAAATAGGCCGCTTTAAAATCCTCCATATCTTGGAGCCAGCGGAGATTAAGCGTCTACATTACCGTTAACAACCACATCACACACACCGGTACACCTAATCTCTCAGTGTCGCTCTCTGCTGTGAGGCGAGAGAGAGAGGGAGGACGTTTTTCACTTCTTGTTGCCAAGAGGATTAACCTGTCTAAGTGGGTTAACTTTATATACCAGAATGCAATGCCACTGTTGTTACAACCATCATAATATTTGAGAGCACTTGTTTGGCAGTGTGCCACGCAGCATGCAGGGCTGGCTCTGTAGTAACAAAGTTGTATAGCATGACAGACTGCCGTTTGTACCTACAGTTAATGTGCGTTATGTCCATTTTGATTTACAATTTATCACTGGAAGTTGCTTTTAATTTAATCTGCCCAAACAGAAGAAACACATTTGCACCTTGCGACTGCTGAGTCCTTTTACGCACTGGATGAAACCCACATACATGAATGCTACATGCTAACAAAACAGCTGGAAAGTGACCAATGATACTGCAGAGACGAGAGAGAGGATGCTTGTACTGTACATTCGGATCTCATTCTGTCCTAAGGGTGCCCCGGCATGCCTTCACACTAGTGTTAAAACGAACAGCTGTTCATTTTAATGCTCAGTGTGAGCAGGGCCACACAAACATTAGCACACAATAATAGCCAGACTTTCATAGCTTCTGCAGGATTACACAAACTAAGGTAAAACTTTTTTTTTTTCAAGGTTTTGATAGATGATTAGCAGTAAAAACAAAAAAAGAAATCAAGAGGGCAAAAGTCCTGTCACTGATTTAAAAGCAGAAGCAAGCATGCAAATGTACACATGGTGAGATTAGAAAACAGGAAAATGCAAAGAAAGGGTATCAGTAATCACACTTCCTGTTGCTACAAGTTTCACAAAATAATCTTTAAGAGCAAACAGCTGACTGGTGTTCTGAGTCAACAAGTGTCCGACGAAGAATTCACATACATTCAGTTCCACTGATTTGCTCTGACTCTCAAAACTTATGCACAAGGTTTCAAAATAAAACAACATTTTCAAAACAGAAACATAAGATCCTGTATCCAACAGATCATTTTAAAACCTAAAGTCTTCACTCTGAAAACACTCCAGCTCATACATCCTCCACACAAACAAACTCTTGCATCAGCCACCACCCAAAAATTCCTTCCAACGGGGGCAAACGTAACAGATGAAGAAAAGGGTGAAATCCAGAAAGTTTGCAGAAGAGACCGCTTGACAACAAAATATTGTGGCGTGTTGCTGTTTTTCGTAAATCTGCGTCTGAATGTTGGCAGCCGTATTTTCATGCATAGTATAAACCACAACTTTCAGGAAAGGTAACATACTCACTTACTGAACAGTTTCCTTAAAGAGGTTCCCTTTTTTTTTTTTTTCTTCTTTAAGAAACGTATGGGTGAGGAGCTGCAGCTCTTTTGTAACTCAGGTGAATACGCAGGCTCTTAAAAGGGAGGAGGGAGGGCCTCTATCGACCAATGAGCAGACAGACACAGTTCACTCAGGCCCCTCCTTTGAGCATGGTTGTAACCCCCAGTACACACACATGCACATGCACACGTCTGCCTCAACACAAATGAGCAATAAGGGCAAAGCAGGAACTGTAGCAGAGGTACAGTTTGTGGAAACAAAAAAAAAATAAAGTAGGTAGATAGATAGATAGGTAGACTGACACGTTCATCACCATCAGACTGCAGATACCACAGGGCACCAACGCTGTTAAATACCCGTGGTCGCTTCAACACCTCATCACACGACGTCACGTCACACCTCATCACATGACCACGACCATCCTCTTTTATACTGATGCTAAACCAGACACATGTGGACAGATGAGAGGCTGAGGACAGACAGATCACATGCATCTCCCACGCCGAGAGCAACCGACTGTGTTGTCACTGTGCCACCTCTCCTGAACATACAAAGAAGACACATAAGAACGTTTGCACATGCAGCTGCACACACAGACACGCAGATGCCCGACTGCATTGTGGGCAACTGTCAGTGGTTTTCGGGGTAGGCTGTGGCACCAACTGACCAATCTGAGGCCAGCGCTGTTGGTCTGGATGTCACCGTGCCCAAGGTCATGTTTGTGTCAAGGATGAAGTTTTATCTCTGTCCACTTAGTAACTCTGTTCAAAAAAAGAAATACACACACACAGTCATGCACGCACGAAGACACACACACACACACACACACACGCACATACGCGGCATGGTGTGGACACACTGCACCACCATCTTTTTCCTCAGCTGTTCAGTGAATATCTATGAAACGATGAACTGATTCGAAGTAATGAACAGTTTATCTACGAGGGTTTGAGCAGGTTTCAAACATGAGATGATGAATTTTCTCGACCCACAAGCATTTAGCTGGGGTTCATTCATGAAAACACAACCAGTGTGGTTGAATTTAAAGTGTCCAGTATTTGATTTACTTTGCTATAAGTGAGCTCATAACGGTCTGTGGAGGAGACAGCTACAAAACACAAAAGACAACAGTAAGACTTCTCTCACTTTCAATCACAGCCAACAATTATTGGGCTGGTTGTATCAATTGTCAAGTATGTGACAATATTTACAGGATGAATATTGTTGATATTTACATTTGAAACCTTTTTGCAGCGATGTAATGTGATATTAAAAAGGTAGAATCATTCAATTTTGATTTTTATTAAGCTTGAATGTTTGAATAAACCCCCACTGCGTCCACAGAGACAATAATGACATAATGCTTCCAGCTAAAGCCTACTGTAACAACAGCACAGATAAGTCAGTGAACTCCTCCAGTAATATCTGTTTACTTAAGTTTAGTCACAACAGACGAGATTAGACAAAGTGTGAGAGGGAGAATGTGATATATCATCTTGTAAAAGTTACTTTAAGTCAACATCTACACTATATGACAACAGCAAATCCTAATGTGCTAACGACCATGCTAATACAAGAACAGGTTTCAAGCAAACTAAACAAGCAGTCTGTTAAAGTTGCTGCTTTTCAACTGACTTGCAGCCCATCCCCCCCCTTCCACATGAGAGATGTTGAGTTTTCTTTGGATTTAGTCAAGCAGGCGTCAGTATGTTAGGAAAAAGAGAGAGAGAGAGAGACAGAGAGAGAGAGAAAGAGAGAGAGAGGAGGGAAGCCACAAGATATTCTGTAAAACGATCACTACAGAGAGAACACAACCAGAGTGAGCAGCAGTGAAAGCCACATTCCCACAAACAGAGAACTCCTCACCATGATCGTCTCTGCAGCTGCAGGGACATTCCTTAAATGGCACCTTGAAGAGTGTGTGTGTGTGTGTGTGTGTGTGTGTGTGTGTGTGTGTGTGTGCGTGCGTGCGTGTGTGTGTGGGGGCTTCACACACATACTCAGCCAATCACCTATGACTAGAAAGCTGTCCCTGAACCAATCCTGCAACATACCAAACAGGGACGGGGTTAGCTTGGGGGGTTGGGGGGGTCACAAACTTCAGAGCTGAGCAGCAGCCGGCTATAGAAGTGACCGAGCTCAACAAAATCTCACTCAGTCAAACACACACACACACACACACACACACACACACACACACACACACACACACACACGTGAACACACACATGAGCACACAAGAACAAAAAGGTTTGGTTAGCGTGTGATTTCTCTTCGATGCTCTATGTTGCATATTTGTAATAATTATTCTGTTGCTACAATCTGAATGGGGGAATGGGGGAAGGCTTGGAGTATTTTTTTTTTTTTTACACTGTAACCTTCAAATAAAACATGGACTTTTATTTACTGACACATCTGGAACAGTCTGGTCCCTCTCCTGCTCTTTCGGTTTTCTTCTGACTCTTTCCAGTAAATGTTGATCAAGTTTGCACCCACTGTCTGCCCTGTGCTCACCTCTCCCTCCCTTGTGCATGAACCCACCCTACTTGTAATAAGCGTTTTTGGTAAAAATTTGTCATCTTATTGACAGTGTCCAACCTACTGCAGCAGCCTGCCAAGACATTCTGACTGCTTTGTGTTCAAGTACACTTGATGCTGAGCTCCATTTTCCAGAGACAAGTGTCAATGCGGTGAGGAAGTGTCTACTTTTTAAGCTTCGTTTTGACACAGTGGTTGGTGGGGTGCTTGCTCAAATAGGAGATGATGTAACACTATTTGCTCGTCTACTCTTACACTTCAGTTCCACCTCTCCAGAACACTGGATTTCCTGACATGGATGTGTGAATGTGATCGTTTGTGCCGAAGGAGAATAACACACAGTGTTGTCATCAGCTGGTAAACACGAGGTCACAAGGCATGTTTCCGTTATGGATTATTGGGGGTTATTAACCTCCCTCTTTGACCAAAACATCTCTAACATGACACTGTGGACAATAATTTGTACCTCTGATTGTCTGAATGGATCAATCGCTCCCACATACAGGCACACAGTATCTTTGTTGTGCAGCCGACACTCCCAACAACTCTTGTTAGCGCTCATTGTGAGGTTGAATCTCAAGGCCTCTGAATTAAGCCTCAACCTCTGTGCCATGTGAATGGTGAGTCACTGGCCAGATGACATTCAGTACTTCTTTAAAATAATATCACAAACAAATGTGATGAACTGGCCCCTTTCAGGTCTAAGGCATCAGATATTTCTGTCCCCTGGGTGTAAAATGTATCAGCTCCACTTGTTTGCAAGTAGGCGACTGCCATATGATGTAACATACATCATGTGACACTGAAGTCATTATTATTAGTAGAAATGCTTGTTTTTCCTCCATTAAAGAGAAGACTCAGGACATTTACATTAAGGGTTAATTTTTAAAAGCACCACACATCTGATATATATGATATTTTTGAAGACATTAATTTGATTTTTAAACTTTATATAGACTATGAATGACACTGAAAAAAACATATTTTGTTTTGGAAGTTACTCAGGAGCTTCAAATTGTCGACTGGAAGTCTCAACGCAACTCTAAAGTAGCATTTCTGAAGTATAAATGTAAGAAATGTAAGTAAGAAAATGTAGGTCAGCCTGCCTGCTTCTCAAAGTTTCTCAAAGTTTATGAGGGGTGAAATCTGTCCTTCAAATAATGGAATGGACTTAGTCTATGAAGGTCAAGTTAAGGCAAATATCTACTTTTCACATTATGTAAATTTCTTCATCTGCCAGCCTCCACATAGACCATACAAACGTTATGCACCAACAAGTGTGTGAACATGCCAGTGTATACAGACTCCCAGTGTAATATAAACAGAATCATGGGTGGTCCATTTTGGATTGTGTCCGGCCCTTTAAAATTCTTGCCCGACTTAAGTTCGGGGGATTTAGCATTTAGCGAAATATGCTTATTTACTCTTTTACTTAGATTTAGATGTTCAGATTGAAACCACTCTCCATTAAAAATGAAGCTACAACAAACTTAACCTAGCTTAGCTTAGCATAAAGACTATAAATCAGGGAAACAGCTAGCTCTAGCTCTACCTCTACCCAAAAGTAACAAAATTTCACTGTGAAGTTACCAAGTAACTTGTGTAGTCTCCCATAAATGCCCATAAGTTTCAGAGATGCTGGTTGGTTGATTTCTTTTTTAGCTTTTGGACAGAGCTATACTGGCTAATTTTTCCTGCTTCGAGTCTTTGTGCTAAGCTAAGCTGACCATCTCGTGGCTGTAGCCTCATTTTTAACAGAATGGTATCAACCTTCTCATTCAACTCTTAGCAAGACATTAAATAACCGTATTCTCCGAAATGCCCAACTACTCCTTTACGTGATAAAGCACAATAGCTCCTCAGCACAAATCGCCACGGTCTCATTATCATCTGTAATATACAGTCGGTGGTAATAAAAAATTTAACCATCACACAGCCTCTAAAGGTTATGTTGCTCCCTGTGTGTGTGTACTGCACACCTTCCTCCAGATGATCCAGTCTGTCAGAGCTTCCACTGGGAGGAATTTATTAATGTATATGTGGCACATTGAGAAAAGTCCCGCCCCCCTCCTTTCTTCAGCTTCTCCTCCCTGACACACTGCAGTCATACATTTTACATGTTGGAGGCATATGTAATGGAAGCATTTTGTACTTAAGTTAAAGTACAAACACAAAAAGGTTTTGTTCTATATAAGGTTTAAAGTTAAGTCTAAAGTTTAATAAAAATAAATCTAATTAAACAGATCTTTTGACCATGGTAAATAAATACCAATGTCTGATCGCTTTGTATCAGCTAATATTCAGCTACGTATATCTGATTCACCAGCTGAACACTTCACTCCTAAACCTGCACACGTGGTGTGTGTGGAGGTGTTTGAGACAGGGTCGTGATTTATCACCTGGCAGGTACTGTAAAAGCATGTGTCAGACCAACACCTGATAGTATGCTCATTTTAAACCCTTTCATTTGTTCAGTTTACGCCATTATGTTGCATTCACAG